TAGAACGCACCGAGTCCGAAGTCGTCTGCCATAGTAGTTGTCTTGATTCCTAGCATCTGACCGTGGACTACATTGTAATGTTGAAGCTAATAACTTGTCCCTTGTGTCAAGGTAAAAAAAATCGCTGGATACACATACTTATTAATGACTCTTGGATACTTGTTGAGACGAATCAATTTCGTTGAAAATAATTTTGTATTAACCTGCTTCCATTTGACTTTAAGATTACATGTTCATAACATATTTAGGGACTATTCTGCGACTTACTAATTATATTCTCATAATCTATGCTAAACCATTGATGAGCAATGAAAGAGCTTCAAGATTAATTTGCTTTTTTTTCTTATTTACCTTATAAAGTTACACTACACTCTCTCAGAACCACTGCAGTCCTACCTGATCAAACCTGTGCAACGGATCACCAAATATCAGCTATTGCTAAGAGAGCTGCGTGATTGCTGCGAGACAGGTTGCCAGGCTGAACTTACTGAGGGTCTCGAGGCGATGTTAGCTGTTCCGAAGCGTGCTAATGATGCTCTTCATCTTTCAATGCTACAGGTAGTTTTGGCTAATTATTAGGCTGACTAAATTTTTTGTGATAGGCTTACTACTTATTAAATATGTTTCCATGCGGTTTTATCAACCCAAAATGATGCATTAATATAATCCTTTTTATTAAAAAAAATGCAATCCACCTTTGGACTACCATCTAATAAACATTTTTCGTATATCATAATTGTTGGGAAGACTTCCAGTTTGTATGAAAGTTGATGAAGAGGCGATTTGAAGATCGATCTCACCATAAAACGACAACTGATTCCCTTTGTATTGCAGTCGTTTGGCCTTAAAACAAGTGTGTAAATTGGTTGATTCGCAGATAATTCTAAGCAGGATACGCTGTTTGATGTTTTATCTATGTACAAAACTGTTCCTGTTTAAGGCTTTAGCGCCTTTCCCTGGGTCAATAAGCCTTCATAACCGGATACAGACATTAGCCCTTTTTGATCACTGATTTAGGAGCGGTGTTGAATATAAAAGGTATGGTAGAGCCGGTAGTCTTCTTGAGATTGTTTGAACATAATACTTCCAGCTCTGATGGTCATCATATGATCGATTAAAGCTCAACCCATTCTTAAATCCGATATGATTTTATGGCATCGGTCTTCATTCATTGACTTTCCTGATTTGAGTTCATTTCTTTCGTGCCTTGATTCGCTATCCGGTTTTTATTTGCTTTTTATTACTCATCAATTTTTTATTAATTAAATCGTATGGACCGTGACCATGACCGAAATATTTAACCATTTTATCCATTCCAATGATCACCAAATGTATAGTTGACAATGCTGTGCATGATATCCTATATTATTTTAGCAATCTCTACTCACCACTGGATAATTTTCAATAACAGGCTTGTCCAGATCCACAGGAAATTCCTTTTTTTTATTTCTTGACGGCAACCATTTATGCATTTTTATATATTTTAACTCTACACCTGCATTTGACTTCTT